GTTTTTGTCATACATTGAAATGAATTAGCCATGGATTTACATGTATTCCCCATCCCGGTCCCCCCTCCCACCTCCCTCTCCACCTGATCCCTCTGGGTCTTCCCAGTAAAAAAAAAAAAAAAAGAACTCGCAGGTTGCTGAAGTACTGACACTGCCTGTATGCCCAGGATAGGGAGGCTTCAGATGGAAGGTTTGAGCTGATCCTGCAGTAGGGATGTGGTAGACAAGAAAAAAGAAAAAGGAAACTGAATCTGCAATTATTTGGGGATGGCTGGAGAATACTGACAGTAAGTAGTAAGAAAGGAAGCAGAAACTGAGGAGGCTGGGGTGCGCAAAGAAGAAGGAGTGAGGAAGGAAAAAGAAAGGAAGAACATCAGTCCTGACGCCCATCATTTTATATTCTCATCAGGGTTATAATAAAAAACACACGTTGAAATAGAGAAGGTTTGGCATTTGGAGGATTATTTGTAAGCTGTACGATGTGAACGGAAGTTTAACTGACAAAGATATGATTGGAAGGGGAATTCCCTGGTGGTCAGTGGCAAAGAATCTGCCTGCCCATGAAGAAGATATGGAATTGCAGATTTGATCCCTGGGTGGGAAAGACCCCCTGGAGGAGGAGATGGCAACCCTCTTCTGTATTCTTGTGGGGAAAGTCCCATGGAAAGAGGACCCTGGCAGGCAACAGGCAGGTTACAGAGTTGGACGTGGCTGAGTACGCACGCATGGCTGGAAAGTGCTGGCTACAGCTGTAGGAGACTTCACAGAAAATGTGGACTTTGAAGCTGACTTAGAAGGTAGACGCGTGGGAGAAGGGCCTTCTAGAATAATGTCAGAGCCAGGCCAAGGCCGGAGCTCTTCTCAGGACTGCAAGGGGGCTGTCCCCGAGGGCCTGATCTCACTGCTGCTGCTGCTGCCGCGAAGTCGGACTTGTGTTTCTTAAGCCTCTGCTTTTCCTGGGGCGGCACACAGGATGCAGGAAGGGGAAGGTAATTGCCCGCTGGGCTAGAATCAGACTCCGGTCCAGGACGAACAGCACTGGTGCTCTCATCCTTTAAGACCCCCCAGTCATTCTATGGCCTCTGTTATACCTTGGAATTGAATATTCACCAGTGATGGTCATAGAGGAGTCCAAGCAAATCAGAGAACAAATAGCCCAGTGGCCATCGTGGGATGATGTCACTGCTGTTAGCTGTCTGTGAAAGAGAAAAGCACTGCCTGGATTTATAATGATATAACTTCCTTAAAACTTTCTGTTTAGATATTTGGAATAATGAACACTGGACTGAGAGAGATTAGATTTAAATTTGACCAAGCTCTTGCACTTGAACAAGAAGATAATTTTAACACTCCAGAGCTCAGTTTTCTCATGGATCCTGTAAAGGAAAGCGAACTAAATTGCTTCTCAGCCTTTTGGCTAAGATCAAGTGTAGTATAGAGGCTTCCCTGGTGACTCAGTAGTTAAGAATCTGCCTGCCAATGCAGGAGCTGCAAGAGACGTGGGTTTGATCCCTGGGTCAGTCAGATCCCCTGGAGTAGGAAATGGCAACCCACTCCAGTATTCTTGCCTGAAAAATTCCATGGACAGAGAAGCCTGGTGAGCTACAGTCCATGGGATCACAAAGAGTTGGACGTGATGGAGTGTGCACCAAGATCTTGGAGACCATTTTAAGGCTAAAATTGCAAGATTTTATTTGAGATTCTCAATAAATACAAAATCTGTAAATGTTGAGTCTGGTTCCAGAAATTCATCCCTAAAGAAAAGACTGTAATTGTACAGGCACATTATAGGACACGTACAAGACTGTCCAGTCTGTACTGAAGTGCTGCTGTGAGAAGCTCAGAGGCAGTCAAATGGCCATCAAGTTAATAGTGAGATGCGATGAGCCTGAATACTTAAGTCAGAACTATCCAAATATCTGCCAAGTCACAGGGTAAGACTCCTAAGATTTTTAAAGGTTATTCTGTTCACTTTCAGCAATATTTTGTAAGTCCATCTCTAAAGATGTTCTCCTCCTTTAAATGTATCCATCTATCAGGCTAAAAATAGATTTCCAACTTTATAAAAGTAGTGTGAACTTGAAAGTCGATGGAAGTGAAGTGCTGATTTTCAAAGGAACACTGTCAAAGTTGATGAGCAGGAAACTGAACATATCAAGCCATAAAAGTACCATTCCTTATTTTAAGCACCTTCCAATCTTCCTTTCTGTAACATTGCTCAGTGTCTATACCATTGGCTGCAGTGCTATTAAACGCATTCTTTCCCTCTGGGCCCCCAGCCAGGGCGGATCAGAGGTGCCTGGGTGGCTGTGAGATTTGGCACACATACCTTGGATGTCTGTTCATTTTAAGAACTTTCCTCCTCTGACTAATCCCTCTTCTTCCTCCAGCTGGGTGAGAAGCACTGTTTTGAGTCAGATTTGAGTTGATTGAGTAAATCAAGCCATGCTTTTCTGTCTTCATAAAGCATGTGCTCTGAATGAGGCACATCAGAAATGAGATCTGGTAAAATACCGGAGACAGGTAAAAGCACAACAAACAACTCCACAACCCAGCTCCTGTGGAAATAGTAATGTCCTTGCTCAACAGGGGTTTATTTTCTTGAAACGGTCATGCATAATCAGGACATTTTTGAAATGTTCTGAAATGTGATGAAAGACCTTCACATTTTAAAAACATTTCTAATGATATTAAAAACATAATTCCTTGACTACTGGTATTTTGTCTTTTCATTCTCTTCAGGATTAGCTTGGTTCCTCATTCTTGGTGCATCCCAGTAAATGTGAATCAATAGGGCTGACTTAGGACAGACAGAATTTGCTTCTTTCTGTCTAGTTTTGTGGCTGACAGAGGGATCTGGCTTAATGGAGGGCGTGATGAACTCTAAGGAATGGTACAATGGGAATTCTCAAAGTCTTTAAGCATAGTAGGGATAGTATTACAAGTAGATATGTCATGATTCCATTTCAGTTTTCTTTCCTCTTCATCTGATGAAGCATAGAGAACTTAAGCATGCAAATTTTGTGACTTTTCAAACACACTTTGTTCAAAACTTTCTGCTTAAGAAGAGTTGATAAGTATATGGACATTTCCTTCCCCATCTGTGGCAGGGTCCCCATAGGAGGAAGAAATGTGAGATCAACATTTGTCCAATAAACTGACAGTAAACATTATTATCTCTGTAAGTTGTTTTGGTTAGCAGTTTTATCCCCAGAGTTGTATACTATTCACCAGAAGGATGACTGGAAGTGACTAGTATTTTCAGTCCAGATTTATTTTTAAGTTTATTTTATATTGAAGTATAATTGCTTTAGAGAATTTTGTTGTTTTCTGTCAAACACGAATCAGCCATAGGTATACACATATCCCCTCCCTTTTGAACCTCCCTCCCATCTCCCTCCCCATCCCAGCCCTCTAGGTTGATACAGAGTCCCTGAGTTTCCTGAGACACACAGCAAATTCCTGTTGGCTATCTATTTTACATATGGTAATGTAAGTTTCCAAGTTATTCTTTCCCTAGACTCATCCTCTCCTCCCCTGTCCCCATGTCCATAAGTCTAATCTCCATGTTTGTTTATCCATTGGTGCGCTATAAGTGAGTTCTTCAGTACCCTTCTCCTAGAGTCCATATATGTGCTAGAATATAATATTTATCTTTCTCTTCCTGACTCACTTCACTCTGTATAATGGGTTCTAGGTTCACCCACCTCATCAGAACTGACTCAAATGCATTCAATCCAGATTAAGTCTTGGCAGCCCACCCACTGATCAGATCTTCCAGTCACCAGAGACAGTTACCATGGTTATTGGTTTTCTAAAACGTCCAAGCTTAGAAGGTTGTGTAATTGAAGCCAAATTGCTGAGTACTCAATGTATTAATATAGGTCTGTCATGATGTATTATGAATCCAAGTTAAGATTAAAACGAAATTTGGTTATGGGAGCTTAACACATAGATCAATCTACAATGCAACAATAAAGGGAG